CCAAAAAAAAAAGAAAAGAAAATATCCATCTCTTTCCACAGCACCTTTTAAAATTCTTTTAACCCTGCAGAGAGAAATCTCTCACCAGCAGATGGCTGGGAAACCAGTACGGATAATATCTTACTAATGTTACATTGATTAGAAATAACAGCATTTTAAAGAACTTTATTGGTTTTCATAATAGATAGGTAGATGGATGGATAAAGTTCTTTAAAAATCCATACATGTCATTCTGGAATAAGACTCCCAGTGAAACCTTACTAGTGTTTTGGGGTACTGTCTTTTCTCACTTGCCATCTCAATGACAGAATCATTTTTGAGGGCTTTGCAACTCTCGGGGCATCATCCCTTTTGGAGTCATCTCGTTCTTTCTGAAGTCTATGAAACCTGCCTTCCTTCCAACAAGGGTTCACTTTGGATTATACAAAGGCTTTCCTCCCTGTAATTATGACCTAGCTGCCCTCTCCCAGGTTCCACACATCTCTGCTGTGTCCTCAGCCAGTTTCTCCTGGTGGGCCAGTATGTAGCTCAGCCTGGGAGCACTTCCTGCCATCCCTTCTCTCTTCTGGAGAACATAGCTATTTAGAGGCAAGTCAAGAACTTGGATATTCTGCTGTGTGGCCAAGTAAGGGATTCTTTCAGTGTTTAGAGAGCTGAAGTCCCCTGGTTTTGGTGCCCATTTAGCATCAAAAAATGAAAATTCATTTCTTCCATCTGACGTGGCAGATCTCACCCAAACATTCCCCACGTGTTTTTCCACCTTGGTCTGTGTTTTCTCGTCATATAGCACTTTTCTGCTTCTCCTTGTCTACCTTATTTTGAATAGCTACACAGTGTCCATCGCAGGGTTCCTTCCAATCCTTCGCTCATCTCAGCAAGTCTCACTGATACCTCTCATACCTTATGACTCTGCCGAGTTGAGTTCACCTGTGCGTGCCCTTCCCATTGGCATACCAGTATCTGAGGCTATAAATGTCATCTCTCCCTCCCCGTTCTTTCCCATTTGTTCTCATGACACCACTATACTTATCACCCTGTCATACTTGAAGTCTGTCCGCCATGGTACCCTATGTTATAAGTCTCATCTGAGTGTTCTTCCCCTACCACCACAACCATTCTTTTTAAACCTTCTTGACTGAGTCATCTGGTTTCCAGGCAGACATTCTCTTCATCCTCATGAGATGCATACCCAGGAGCCTGCCCATCCCTCAGGTCTCTTCAGCCGAGGCTAGAATTCAGACCCATTCTTAACACCACCAATTGGCTGGCTCCCCACTCACAACATCCACCACTGTCTGCAGAAGTCCATCCACCATTAACAGAAGCAATGAAAGCAACACCAAGGCCCCCAGGGTGGCCTTTGTCAGGCCTGTGATAGAACTGTCTACCTACCTCAGCCACAGAGCAACCTGGGTGTGAAAACTGCTTCTCTAGTTCAACCTCCTGATTTGACAGATAAGGAAACTGAGGCTTGGAGAGGTGAAGTGGCTTCTGCAGAGTTTGGTGAACTACCCAGTGGGGTCAGATGGGCCCTAGTTCAAGTCTTTGCTCTAACTCTTGCCAGCCAGGTGGCCTGGACATCTTGTTAGACCTTCATCCCATCACCAGCCCCAAGCCCTGGGCTCATTTGCCCCTCTAGCCTGGTTCTGCCTCCTGCTTCCTCTCACTGCAAAAACATAACAGATAAATTGGAGTTTGGCTTCAGTGGGAGCTGCATGAGTGAGGTTCTTGATGAGCCATGTATATAACAGTTCCAGACCACCTGCTGGTCTTTTGCCATCCCTGAAAATGGTTGTTGAGGCTCAGGGTTAACAGTTAAAACTGACTTTGATCTTTGACTTTCCTCAGCAGGGTAAATAATTTTAAGTAGCTCATAATCCAAAAGATTTTCTATTTTCTATCTTTCTTCTCCTCCTCCTTCTTCTTCATTGTTATGGAACATTTTAGACACATACAAAATAAAAGCAATAGGATATTGAACCCCCACGTACCCACCACCACCTTCAACCATGCTTAACTCTTGGCCACTCTTGTTTCCTCTGCACTTCATCCACGTACCACTCCCCTGTAAACTGGATTATTTTCAAGCAAATCCCAGACAGTATGTCATATCACTTGTAAATATTTCACTAAGTAGCACTAAAAGACTCTAAGGACTTTTTCTTAAAAATAATCACAGTACCATTATCACACCAAAAAATTAATAATTCCTAATATCATCCCATTTCTAGTTAGTGTTCAGATTTCCTTGATTGTCTCATGGAAGTTTTTTAACAGTCAGTTTATTTGAATTGGGATCCCCATAATGTCCACACATTGCATTTATTGATTTGTCTCTTCAGTTGCTTTTAGTCTGTAGGATCCCCCTCTCTTTTATTTCTTTTCAGTTTGTTGGTAGTGGTGGTATTGAAGAAACCAGGTCTTTTTTTAGATATATGAAATGAATGTTTTTTATAATATGTTGGTCTTGATTATGTTTTCTTAAAAGTAATATAAAATTAAGTTTCAATCCCTTATTTTTTTTTTTTTTTTTTTTTTTTTTTTTTTTTTTGGGTCGCGGGGCCCCTCCCCGTTGTGGCCTCTCCCGTTGCGGAGCGCAGGCTCCGGACGCGCAGGCTCGGCGGCCGTGGCACATTTGACTTTGCTAGTCTGCTTTCATTCTAGTCTCCTCACATGGGAAAAATAGAACTAACTGGATAATTTTTTCAACCAGAAAAAAAGCATGAATTCTAAAAATCCGCGGCATGGGGGATCCTCCGGGCCCGGGGCACAAACCCGCGTCCCCTGCATCGGCAGGCGGACTCTCAACCACTGTGCCACCAGGGAAGCCCCAATCCCTTATTTTTATATTCAGAGGTGGTAAAAGACATCCCTTAAATATACTGAGTGGTAAACCGAAGATATGAGGAATCAATGTTGGCCAGCGTTGACTGGGTAAAACATTGGTTCCACCCAGCAAGCTTATCCCAGTCCCTCCTTGAGCCCGGGGCCCCCGTGTATTCCCAGAGCCTTTCAGTGAGTGGCACCTCTGGGGTGATTCAATCAATGAATCTGCAGCACTGGAGCATCTTTTCATAGCTTAAATTTATGGTCAGTGCCCCCTCCCTTCCCAACCTCTGCAGTTCCTCTAATATGAAGGAGATACTAACAAAAGCAATTAGGTCAGCAAAGGGAGAAAAGGATGAGGGCAAGAGAAAGCTGGGATTTTGAGACCATAGGCTTTCTGAAGAAGGGACAGCTTGGGTCCAAGGTCAGAGGAGGGAGACCCACCCTGGAAGCAGGCTGTGGGTCACAGATAGGGTGACCCCCCTCCTCCCTTAGACCAAGAGGCAAGTGTCCACAGTCCTGCCTTAGCTGAGGCCCTGCCCATGGTGATCTGGCCCATCCTTTCTGCTCCTACAGTGTTCAGGGAGCCCCCCACAAAAAACCCGTGCATTTATAGAATGACCTTTTGACCTTTGAAGGCAGTGTTAGTCTTCACTGTGAGCTTTAGCCCATGTTTTATGAGCATGTCATAGGCTGTTAAATCCACAAACCCTTTCACTTTTAACTTCCCGCCAGCTCTAATTTTTTAACCGCAATGTTACGGGAAATGTTTGTTATTCCAAAATTGAAGTGTGGCAGTTTGGGGGAAATTACTTTTGTAACTCCCTGGATTTTTTTAAAAAAATACCTATGTACCACCCTCTCTCAAGAGTCCCCTCTCTGGCCATCTGGGAGATGAGGCCAATGGATTCTGTATGGGAATAGTGACACCCAGACTCATTCCCAGGGTGGAATCAGGCCTCAAGACTCAGAAATCTGCAAAATGAAGGTTAGCGTGGCCTCCATGGCAGCTGTGTCTGGGTTCACACCCCCCCCCGAGGGAAGAAAGCACGAAGTGGGGAGGGCTGAGCGGCAGCCTGGGAATGACATCGGTGTTTGTTCACCTGACACACGGGTGAGGAAATCTGGCCACAGAGGCGAGTAGAGGAGGGACAGGGTGATGGTGGCGGAACACACGTGCTGGAGCCAGGCAGGCCTGGCTTAGACTCAGCCATACCTGACCGTTCCAGTGTGACCCAGGGCAGGTCGCTTGATATCTTTGAGCCCATGGTCTCCTGATCTGGAAGCAGGGGTGTTGCCTGCCTGGTGACCCCACACGTTGGTAGGCCTTGCCGTGCCAATCACACACTAGCTCTAGAGGAAAAAAGACTCAGGACCAGCCCCAGCAGCTGGGCCTAGGAGGGGTTGATGGCCTCGCTGCTTCTTCCGTTCCTTGCCCCTTGAATATGCTCAGGCTAATCAAAAGAAAGCTCAAAGTATATGATTTTCCTTTGCCTCACAAATGGCAACAAGTGGTGTTTTTTTTCCCTTCCCATTTTTTAAACTGTTGTTGAATGATTCTTTAAATTCTATAGTGCTTTACCATTCTTAAAAGTTTCACACACGATTTCATACACTCCCATAATAACCCTTCCCCCCACGGCCCCTCCCCGCTTCCCTCTCCCCACTGATAGCCACTAGTTTATTCTGTGAGTCTGCTTCTTTTGTGTTTTATTCACTAGTTTGTTGTGTTTTTTTAGATTCCACATATAAGTGTTTTCAGATTTTGCCGTGCACTTATTTTCTCCACACACCCCCTCCCTTTACACACTCCTGTTGTTAAGCCAGAAAAACAACGCTTGCAGGGTAGGAAGCCAAGTAGCGAACGTGTTCAAATGACAGTTGAATAGGTCCTGTGACGAAGAGAAGACCAAGGTGATGGAAGGAGGGGGTCAGGAGTGTCAGCAACAAAGCCTGTGGCCCCAGAGAGCTTTCTGGCTGGGGCCTCATGTTCAGCAATGTTCAGCTGTTCTGGTGTCTCTACAGGTAGTTTGAGGACCACGCATCCAAGCCCATGTTCCAGCGTAGGGAGCCGGCGCTCTCCAGCGGCAAGAGCTCTGCCTCCTGCCCTCGCCAGCCCCATCCTCTCCTCTCCAGGACGCAGTCCCTCTCACTGTCACTTGTGCTTCTTCCAGGGCCCAGGAGACCTTCATGCAGTGGGATCAGTGCCGGCGCTTCTACAACTTCCTCATGGCCGACAACATGAAGAAGATTATCCTCTCGCACAGGTGTGGTGCCTTCCCTATCCCTTGGGAGACAGTTCCTTTCTGAGCTTATTTCACTAAAAGCCAAAATTCCTCTTTCTCCAGGAAAAAAAAGAAAAAAAAAAAAGGCAGGGGTGGTACACATTGGCTGCTGACTATTTTGTGACTTGGTTAGAAACAAACTTGTCCCAAGCTACCGAATTCACCAAATCGCTTTCTGCTTCCATGATTTTCAAAAAGTCCAAGAAGAAAGAGAAACCATTTCCACACCATTCTTTCCCAAATGAGGGCAATCCTGAGGGTGGCTTGTCACTGTTGGGGAGCTTTTCTCCTTAGGATGCTTTTGTGCTTGGGGATCCAGAATCGTTCTCTGCTGGCTCTTGGGGTTCTGACCAAGCAGCAGCATGACAGGAGTCCGGCCGCTGATGCCAAGCGTGGTGTCCACACTCTCCATGCTCTGCCTGCCCATCTCCTGCTCAGAATCCTTTGGTGGGTTAGCCCCTGACAAGTGCTTAGAGCAGTGCCTGGTCTTCAGTAGCACTCAAGAAATATTAGTGATGATTTCATCGTTGTGATTATTGTTAGCGATATTGGCTCTCCCTCCTCCCCCCATGGCTCTCTCTCTCTCCAGCTGGACCAGGCTGCTCAGAGGCCCACGTGCCCTCTGGCCTCTCCCACACCACTTATACCCTTGCTGAGGACCCCCTTCCCCTCATCTCTGCTTGTCCAAACCCAGCCCATCCTTTTAGGTCCATCTCGGGTATCTGCCTCTGTGAAGCTAGCTCCTCCCCCCCACAAGTCGTTTTTCTGCTGCCTCCGCAGTGTGAGTCCCACATCATGAACTAAACTGGAAAGCACTGGAGGGCTCGGGCATGTTTTGATTCCCCCAGAGCCTGGTACATATTGGGCACTCAAAAAGTACAATTTTAGGGGGTTTTTGATGCCATCCTAGGAAAAGCAACCTGACTGAATGATCAGTTTCTTACCCTGTTTTTTTTCAGTGATTAAAAGAAAATGTACTGCCCACCTGGCCAGCCAAGCACCCTAGATTGGGCTTCCTGTGGGTGGGGTTCACATGGCGCCTGGGCAAGGCTGGCGCTCGCAGGCCCCTCAGTCTGCCAGGCACATCCCCAGGCCCTGGTGTTAGGTGGGTGGAGGGCACAGGGAGACTTAGGTCCCCCGGGCTGGCTGAGTTTCTGCTCAGATCGTGGTGTGTGAGCATCAGTTGTGTGCTGGGCCCTGATTCGGGTGTGGCTCAGCCGAGGTTTGGATGGATCCAGGGATTTTCTGAGGTTCCAGCAGGGGTGAAACCAGGCCATCAGACACCAATTCCAAGTCCTCTGTCTGCCTTCCCATACCTCTGCAATGGAAAGTGAACTCCTTCCTCCCAGGGAACATTTGTTTTGCTACAGGGCCCAGTCTTGCCATTAATAAATTAGTCCAAAAGGTCCATCATGTAATTCTTTTTTTTTTTTTTTTTTTTTTGCGGTACACGGGCCTCTCAATGTTGTGGCCTCTCCCGTTGTGGAGCACAGGCTCCGGACGCGCAGGCTCAGCGGCCATGGCTCACGGGCCCTGCTGCTCAGCGCATGTGGGATCTTCCCGGACCGGGGCGTGAACCCGTGTCCCCTGCATCGGCAGGCGGACTCTCAACCACTGCGCCACCAGGGAAGCCCCCATCATGTAATTCTTAACAAACTGGCAGAGTCCTCTGGATGTGCTCTCAGTGTATTTACATTTTTTAAATTTACCACACAAAGCCAAACACCTAGAAATTTTAGGGACAGTTTATTATAATTTTTTTTCTCTATCAGCATTGTCTTTTCTTTTTTAAAATTTTTTTCTAGTTTTATTGGGACACACTTTAAATTGTGAATTCTATCCTTTAAGTAAATAATCTTCCTAATACTCTTTCGAAAAAAAAAATTTTTAAGCAATCTGTTCCTCTTCTTTGGAAGAGGTTGTGAATGGATACCAGAGCATTTAGTTTCTGTAATGGATTTTTCCCACTGTAGGGCCAAAACTCAAAGCAAACTCAGTCTTCCTTCAGCTGTGTGAGTGAGAGCCCTTGCTGGGAATGGACATCTAAATGTGCACATTTTGATCTCTGCCTTTGTTGTCATCCTCTCCAGATGGATCATTTTCTTACTGGAAATAATTACTCTTCTGAGTATATGTTAGCTTTTTAGCTAACATATTGGAGGGCTGTTGATTTGCCCAAATGCTGAATGGGTTAACCGTTATCTTCCTTGTTAAGTGACACAAAGGGCTCATAAAGAGAAAGGGGTTCTGCTAAAGGGGGCGGTGTCAACACCAGTGTAAAGATGGGGCCTCCACAACTTTAGACTAAGGCCCCCCACTGTTTGGCTGACAGCCCACCACAGGCCACAGAGCCCATCCTGAGACCGCTCTGCAGGGCCAGTTTTGTAATAGTCACCTAGGCTCCAACACAATCTTCAGTTTGTCTAGCTGCCCCTTAGACAGGGGCAAGGAAAATAAGGTCTTGCCGTTGATCCTTCTTCGGTTATTCAAAAGTCAACAGTGCAAGCGCATCCTCTGAGACGTTCTGAAGGCTGAAGGGATTTATTTCTAAGTTACACACAGACGCTATGTCGGAGACCCTCTCCTGGCTTGCTTCTAGACAAGGAAGTAGGCTTGGCTGTGGTTGTTTACCATGTGCTTTAAAAAAATTTTTTTTTCAGCTTTACTGAGGTATGATTGACAAAATTGTAAGATATTTCATTGTACAGTGTGATGATTTGGTTTATCATCTGCTTTTCATTCTGTTTGCTTCTTGTCTCATTGTAGGCAAGCTCTTTTTGGAGACCATGTTAAGAAACCTCAGAGCCTGGAGGACACGGACTTGAGCCGCCTCTACACAGCCACATCCCTGATGCAGATCGACGACAATGTGATGAGGTGTGCCCATGCTCTGGGGCAGGGTGCCAGGCAGGAGGTAGCAGGCCATTGCTGCCCGGCGCCAGGGGTTTCCTCTGCCCACTTTAGGGTTAAGGGTTTTGGTGGTTGTTTTTTTTTTTAATGTCCACTGTTTAAAAACTGAAGATTTCACAGAGAAATCCAAATGTCTAATGTCTCTTAAAAAAATAGGAAGAGGACTTCCCTGGCAGTCCAGTGGTTAGGACTCAGCACTTCAAATGTAGGGGGTGCGGGTTAGATCCCTGGTCGGGAAACTAGGATCCCACATGCCACATGGCATGGCATGGCCGAAAAATGTAAAAAAAAAAAAAATAGGAAGAGGCTCTGACCACTCGTTCTACATTCCTGCATGGCCAACTGAGCTTGAACTGGGGAGCTGGGGTATGCGTGCCCTAGTTGTCCACAGTCCTCAACACCAGGTCAGGGATCAGATGTCACATAAACTGTATGTGGCAATGGAGTAAAAGGAGAAGGAAAATATTTCTTGCACCTGCCTGTGTCTCTATCAAAAGTAGAAAAACCAAAAATAGACCGAGAGAGCTGTGTGTTATGAGAAAAATGGACAGAGCCTCTTCCTTTAGGGGCGTAAAGACTCTCCTCTGAGTGTAATATGCGAACCCCGCCCACTTCACTCGGTTGCCCTTTCCCTGCCGCCCCTCCAGGCCTCTCCAGGCACCTGAGGTCACCACACGGACAGTGTCCTCTTTCCTGGCACCAGTAGTTTCTGATTGAGGTTAGCATTAGCTGGAAAAGATAAAGTTAATCTCTGACCTCATCGTTCTCTTGAAAAAGTCATCCTTTTTATTTAGAGATCACTTGATACCGTCAGGTGTGACCTAAAGCAAGCTAGTGTTCATCTAATAGATAGGCACATATTGACCTGAGAGTATGAGATCTGTATTTACCTTCCTTATGGGATTTTAGTAGCCTTCTCACACCAAGTAACTTTGAAATATGCCCATGAACAGTTACTCAAAGGAAATGGAAATTGGGAAATTGCTGGCACGTTCAGAAGGTGAGAATGAATTATACCCACCCTCACTTACGATGGGGTGTGCAACTTTACTGTGGTGCAGACACTACACTAATGAGAAAAAAAAAACAAACTTACTTAAATTTCATTCATCTTCTAAATTTTTTTAAGTCCAAAAGAGAGTGTTCTTCAACTCTTCCTAAAACTCTTCTTTTTTGGGCTTCCCTGGTGGCGCCGTGGTTGCCCGCCAATGCAGGGGACACGGGTTTGTGCCCCGGTCTGGGAAGATCCCACATGCTGCAGAGCGGCTGGGCCCGTGAGCCATGTGCGTCCGGAGCCTGTGCTCCGCAACGGGAGAGGCCACAACAGTGAGAGGCCCGCGTACCGCAAACAAAAAAAAAAAAAAAAA